AGAGTAGAGACATCAGACTGGCAACAAAGATCCGCCTTGTCAAAGCCATGGTATTCCCTGTAGTAACCTACGTATGTGAGAACTGGACCTTAGGGAAGGCTGAGCGAAGGAAGATCAATGCTTTTGAGCTGTGGTGTTGGAGGAAAGTGCTGAGAGTGCCTTGGACTGCGAGAAGATCCAACCAGTCCATCCTCCAGGAAATAAAGCCCGACTGCTCACTGGAGGGAAAGATACTAGAGGCAAAGTTGAAGTACTTTGGCCACATCATGAGGAGACAGGAAAGCCTAGAGAAGACAATTATGCTGGGGAAAGTGGAAGGCAAAAGGAAGAGGGGCCGACCAAGGGCAAGATGGATGGATGGCATCCTTGAAGTGACTGGACTGACCTTGAGGGAGCTGGGGGTGGTAATGGCCGACAGGGAGCTCTGGCGTGGGCTGGTCCATGAGGTCACGAAGAGTCGGAGACGACTGAACGAATGAACAACAACAACAATTCAAGGCTTTCCTGAAAGGCCCAGGTCTAATGGGGTATTGGGCCTGTGGGGACCCACCCCTCCCCCCAACCCCCCAAAAACTACCCTAAAAACTTTTAAAAACTTACCAGGTCGTCATTCCTCTCGGTAGTATCGTTTGTCTGGAAGGGCTCTCATATAATCCAATTCTGATTTGATAATCTGGATTATATGGCAGTGTAGATCCAGCCTGAGTTGTAAAATGGGGATAATAGTGTTGGTGTAAAATAAGAATTAAAGATTCAGATGTATGTCAATCTGTTTTAGGCCCTATCTACACTGTCATATAATCTAGTTCCTGAATCCAGATTATCTACTTTGAACTGATTATATGCCAGTGTGGACTCATTATTATCTTCCTAATAATAATAATAATAATAATAATAATAATAATAATAATATATTCATAAATAAATAATAGATAGGAAGATGCCTGTCTCTGTGTGTGTTTGTATTCCTATCTAATATTTATTTATGAATAAATTTGGAAACTGGATTATATGGCTGTGTAGATCCAGCCTTAGAGAGCCTAATAAATTCCATGTTGACATCTCACCGACAGTCTGTATTGTTTGCTGAGCATTGTCATTTGTGCTATGCTAGAAATGCTGTAATACAATATTATGTGTACAAGGCCACCCCATTAGATGTTATGGTTACATTCAGCATTGATAAGAGATGCATATGCAATATAGGTATTCTTAATCTAAAATAATCCAAAATTCAAAACCCACCTGTGGACAAATATTTTGGATTAGGAATATTCAGCCTGTACAAATGAAAACACAAAGATATGATCAATGTAAAATTGATAGCACTAATACCATTACTGGTAATTAAATTATATAAAGAGAGAAATTCCTAGAGAATTCAACTGATATCTATAAACTCAATATCATTTTAAACATACACATTAAAAGGTGACAATAGACACAGCAAAACAGCACAACATTTTTTAAAAACCCTTGTAGTCTGATTTGCAATAAAAATGTTTTCACCTGCAAATAGAAAAATAGTACTGAAGGAAGCACTCTGATCCTCGGGGAAGGGAGTTCCAGAGATTAGAAGCAACCACTAATAAATTTCTCTCGCACTTTCCCGATAAATGCTTTTGTGAGAATTATGGAAGAAAAAGAAGTGTAAATTGGCTCAATGAGTCTACTATAGTTGAGATTAATGGGGTTCTGACATGATAGGTTTAATACAGGGCTCCCAAACTTTCCAAGTACAAGAAATTATTTCTCTTTTAAAAGAGAAAATATTCCAGGTATTCCACACACAAGAATTGCATTTGATTGACTATGACCCTGCCTTTTCTTACTTTATAGAGGGAGGAGATGCGGTATCAATAGATCAAACTTTAACATCTTGATTTTTGGTTGTCTCCTGTGAACGGCTACTACTTTTTCTTTTCTGAAGGCAAAGAGGACGAAAACCTGTAAGTGACATTAACCAGGAGGACCTGACAGAAGACAAGTTAAGTGTTAATCAATAAATCATCCAAGTAAATTGTTTGTGTCTATAATTCCAAACCAGCTTTGCACACCCTTGAGTGGTTTATGGTGCTCCCTAGTGTTTTTTTTGTGTCAACTACAGAACATTGATTTTATGTTTTTTGTGTCAACTATGCTGATGACAATGTCGTCTGTGCGCATTCAGAAGAAGATCTACAAGCCACTCTAAACACCTTCGCAGAAGCATACGAGAAGCTCGGCCTGTCATTGAACATTGAAAAAACCAAGGTGCTTTTCCAGCAGGCACCAGCCAACCCCTCTCCAATGCCAGTGATACAGCTTAATGGTGTAACATTAGAAAATGTTGATCATTTCCGCTACCTTGGCAGCCACCTCTCCACCAAAGTCAACATCGACGCCGAAATACAACACCGCCTGAGCTCTGCAAGTGCAGCATTTTCCAGAATGAAGCAGAGAGTGTTTGAGGACATCCGTAGGGAGACCAAGGTGCTTGTCTATAAAGCTATTGTCCTCCCAACCCTGCTCTATGCCTGTGAGACGTGGACTGTCTACAGACGTCACATGCAGCTCCTGGAACGTTTCCATCAGCGCTGCCTCCGGAAAATCCTGCAAATCTCCTGGGAAGACAAGCGGACAAACGTCAGTGTGCTGGAAGAAGCAAAGACCACCAGCATTGAAGCGATGATCCTCCAACATCAACTCCGCTGGGCCGGCCACGTTGTCCGGATGCCTGACCACCGTCTCCCAAAACAGTTGCTCTACTCCGAACTTAAGAACGGAAAACGGAACGTTGGTGGACAGGAAAAGAGATTTAAAGATGGGCTCAAAGCCAACCTTAAAAACTCTGGCATAGACACTGAGAACTGGGAAGCCCTGGCCCTTGAGCGCTCCAGCTGGAGGACAGCTGTGACCAGCAGTGCTGCAGAATTTGAGGAGGCACGAGTGGAGGGTGAAAGAGTGAAACGTGCCAGGAGGAAGGCGCGTCAAGCCAACCCCGACCGGGACCACCTTCCACCTGGAAACCAATGCCCTCACTGCGGAAGAAGATGCAGAGCAAGAATAGGGCTCCATAGCCATATACGGACCCACAAGGAAATCCATAATGGAAGACCATCTTACTCGTCCAACGAGGGATCGCCTAAGTAAGTAAGTGTCAACTACAGAACACTGAAGAAAAAAAGCTCACTCCAATGTAACAAACAGAAGGTTGAATACAAAATAAAAGCCACAAAATCCTATATTGTATTTCTAATTTTCTACAAATGCAGATAGTTTGTTCTGTCACAAGCTAAAAGTTAATTCTGCCCTAGAAAAGGAAATATCCTGTCTTCACATCAGCTTTAGAGAGGTTGAATTGCAACTGGAATTCATGGTTTTGTGTGTGTGTATTTGTACCTTTAAGTTGCCTGTAAAGTTATGGTGACCCTATGAACTGGACAGCATTTTCTTGGACAAGGAATGCTGTACCCAAATGTTGTTTTGCAAGTTCCATCCTTTAAAATAAAGGCTACAGAAACTGGTAGCCACTGGTTACAAAGGGAAATATTATATGCAGAATTATGTGAAGCAGGAACCATAGACTCTAGCTTTCCTGATTTGACAGGAACAGTCATGATTTATCCTTTGCTGTGCTGCTTTCTCAGCTGCTTTTAAAGTGTTCTTGTTTTGGGTTGCTGTAAGTTTCTTTGGGCTGTATGGCCATGTTCTAGAAGCATTCTCTCCTGACGTTTCACCTGCATCTATGGCAGGCATGCTCAGAGGTTGTGAGTTATCACTTTCGCCTTGACATCCTTTCTATTTCCTCTCTTTGACGGGGTTAATTTCTCTCTCTTTGTGTGTTTCTGTTGGAAACTAGGAAAATGGGGTTTATATATCTATGGAATGTCCAGGGTCGGAGAAAGAACTCTTGTCTTGTGAATGGTTCAATTGCTACCTTGATTAGCCAGTAGCCTAGCAGTTTTCAAGGTGTGGCTTCGTACTGCCTGGGGGCATCCTTTGTTGAGAGGTGATTAGCTGTCCCTGGTTGTTTCTTGTCTGGAACTCCCCTGTCTTTATTTACTTTTATGATTTTAGAGTTTTTTTTAATACTGGTAGCCAGATTTTGTTCATTTTCATGGTTTCTTCCTTTCTGTTGAAATTGTCCACATGCTTGTGAATTTCAGTGGCTTCTCTGTGTAGTCTGACAAACCTCACAACCTCTGAGGATGCCTGTTATCGATGGAGGTGAAACATCAGGAGAGAATGCTCCTGGAACATGACTATACAGCTTGAAAAACTTACAGCAACCCAGTGATTCCGGCCATGAAAGCCTTCAACAACACATTGTTCTTGTTTTGGTCTCCTCACCCCCGGCACCAACTTTTCATGACCTTACTTCATTTGCTGCAATCAAGCTGAAAATGTGCAAGTAGTTTGCATTCAATGTATTGTCGAAGGCTTTCATGGTTGGAATCACTGGGTTATTGTAGGTTTTTCGAGCTGTGTGGCCATGTTCTAGAAGCAGGTGAAACATCAGGAGAGAATGCTTCTAGAACATGGCCGTATAGCCCGAAAAACCTACAACAACCCAGTCTGCATTCAGTTAATTCATCAGGAAGAAGAGGAGATAAGGAAATTTATCTTGCCTTTTTCATTAGTTTCAGGCAAAAGCAAACTGTTGTGCTCCTAGTTTATCTCTTCTTCACAAATAATCACTTTTGCCTTATTGACCATACTGGGGTGTTCCATGGTCTTACATGTTCCAGTTTTCATTTGTGAAAAATGTTGGAGGGAATGATGAACCAAGACAGAACCAGCATTAAGTGAAAAGGTGCCTCCAGTGATTTTTTCCTCTCAAAAATAAAGGCTAAAATGCTTATAAAGCTCTGAAAATTTTGCTTCTGCTAAGGGTTCTGCCTTCTCTACTTCCTCATAATGTTACCATTTATAATAAACCACAGCAGTTGCAAAGAGCAGAGAAAACTATGCCACAGAGAAAGTAGCAATTTTTAAATGGCTCAGTGATTTGAGTATTATTAGCAAACACTTCTGTTTGTATTCATTGGAAATTGCTCATGCAACAAGATTTCTGATCACTTACAAATGTACAGTGTTTTCTTGTGGTCCCTCTTATGTATGTGACTTCAGGAGCAGTTGGCCTGATGGAGAAGAAACAGAGAGACCCACGAACATCTGGGGTTAACCTTGTGGGTGTATTTGAGAATTTGAGGTATGGTATGTCTGTGTGTGTTTGTGAGTCTGTTTCAGTAATATTGGGCTAGATAGACTTAGGCCCCATATACACTGCCATATACAATCCAGATTATCTGCTTTGAACTGGATTATCTGGCAGTGTAGACTCATATAATCCAGTTCAAAGCAGGTAATCTGGATTATCTGCTTTGATAATCTGGATTATATGACAGTGTAGATCCAGCCTAAGAATCCAACTCAAAATAAGGCAGGATCCTCTTTGTACCATACATGTATGGTGTGTCCCTTTGTACAATGGGACATACCATGACTTCTATTTATATAGTTGACAGCTATCATCTATATCATCAGACTTTCAAAGTGTGCTCCCTGGAGCCCTTAGGGCTCCGTGAAGCACAATCAGGGGCTCTGTGTTTCCCTCCTCCTTCACCCTCTCCTCTTCAGCAGCAGGGAAGAAGGCATTGGTTGGCTGGTTGCTCTCCCAAAGCACCAGAAGTGTGGCTGCCGGAAGTGCATGCTACCAGAGTGCCACTGCTGGAAGCGGGGGTGCTAAAAGTGGGGCAGCAAAGAAGGGCAGGGGCCCTGTTGGCAGTGGTGGCAGAAGAAGTGTGTGGGATGGGCCCAGTGGGGCAGAATATGCGGGCACCGGTGGGGCTCTCTGCATAGATCAGCTTGGCAGTGGTGGCAGCAGGGGTCCTGAAGAGTGTGGGCTGGGGACCTGAGGGCACAGAAGCAGTGCTGGTGGGGAAGGCAGCCTCCAGGCCCGGGGGGGGGGGGGGGGGGGGGGGGGGTAGACCAGGGCCAAAGTGCAGACAGAATCGGGTTAACAGCTGAAAAAATGTTTTTAAAAAGTACACTGAAAACCTGATTTCACTGAAAAATGTACACCTTTGCATGGCTGCAGTCATGCAAAATAATGCTTTCCCTCCCTTCCCCCTGTGTGGACTGCTCCAGAGCACATGTGATTTTTAAAAGCCCTAAAACAGCTGATTTGGTCTGTCAAACAATGGAGCTGTGGACAAACAGATAGCTCAGTGGTTTTCAACTTGTGGTGCCGCGGGTGTTTTGGCCTACAATTCCCAGAAATCCCAGCCAGTTAACCATCTGGGGACCCACAGGTGGAGAAAAACTGAGGTAGCTCAAGGGAAACACAAGTGGAAAGCAATTAGAACTCTCTGAAACTCTTTCTTTTAAACTTTTAAACTTTATAATATTCCACAGATCTTGAATTAACAATTGAGTGAAGAGAGAGATAAGAAATCTGCTTGTGTGTGCCTCTTCAAAGGAAGATGTGAGGATGGCAGGGGACGATATCCCAGGACTGGGATAGACCTGCTGTCAGGTCCTAGGATTTTTTTTCTTTTTGCATCTTTTAAAACGCACATTTTGGCACTCTCTGGAAGTGCCCTAGAATTTGTCTCCCTTCCTGGAGGCCTGGGATCCATTCATAGTCTCACAATTCTGTAGTGTGAATGTACCCCAGGTCTCCAGGAAGGGAGACAAATCCTAGAGCACTTCCAGCACCTAACATGTGGAAGTTACTGCATTAAAAGGAGGGGGGGGGGGGCATGGGTCCATTCAGAAAGTCCCAAAATGTGAAACATGTCTTGGTTTTTACTGAGTCGCCTCCAGGCTGAGAAGTGTGGTATACAAATACGGTAAATAAATAAATAATACTGGAAGCATCTAAACAACGCATCCAAATTAACTAAATACATCACTAGATCCAAAGCTTCCTGGGGTGAATCCCCACAGCCATTCCCACAGGTTTGTGTGTGTGTGTGTGGGGGGGGGGGTGCCCATCCCCTCCCCTCCAGCCCCTGATTCCCCTCCCCCCAAATTACTTCAAAATGTCAATCGCCGCCATAACTTCTCATGTCCTCATGGCATGGGAAAATGACACACAAGGAGATGGCGGCAGGGTAGGAAGAATTTCCCCTTTCACCCCTCCAAACTCCTGTATAAGAGAAGAACAGGAAAGACCTTAATGAGTGCACTGGAACCTGGCAACCCTCCAACTAATTTGCTGGCAGAGACTGGTAGACATTATTGCGCGTGCATTGCAGCAGATTCTTCATCCTCTTCCTCTACCTGTTGCTCTTAGATGGGGTGCAAGATATTTTTTCATTGCCAGTGTTCAATTGCCACTTTGTCTGGCTTACATACATGGAACTGAATGGTGCCATTTTGTCCATCTTCAGGTAGCAAAAGGCTACTATATTAAATGTTATTTGGGTGGGAGTGATTGGTGTACCCAATACGTATTATAAGATGTTGACTATTATGTTGTTATTCTTGATTATGTTGTTATTCTTGATGTTCATGCATCTGATTTGTTTCTTTTCCACTTCTCTATTAATAGTTTCTGAGTGGTTAGTACTCCAAGATGTTATGTTTATCAGGTGGGCTGAATATATATATTGTTAAAAGTTTGGTAGGTCTAGAAAAGTCTTGTTCTGTTAAGGCAAAGATGTTGTTACATTCACTGAACTGTGGTTTATTTTGGGGAGGTGAAATTCTGCTTAGTAAGAGGAAGTAAAATCTGACTTTTGAATAGATGAGGAAGTTAGGGCATGCTAGGAAGGCTGATTCTGAAACAAAAATAAACAAAAAAGATGTTAGTAGAAACAATCAACTTGGAAACCAAATATGCATGAAATCCTTTCTATGCCCAGTTACAGCTGAGTACACACAGGGTAGCTTTTGTTTCCTGGTTACTCAGACAGATGACCTTACAGTCCATGGAAGAGAGGAAAGGCAGCTCATGTTTCTCAGCACCTCATCAGGTGGCATGCAGGTCTAATGTTCCCAAGACATATGGATGCAAGGTTTTTCTGTGTAGCCACTATGTTTATATAAAGTACAACAACAACAACAACAACAACAACACTACTTTATTTGTATGCCGCCCTATCTCCCTGAGGGGACTCAGAGTGGCTTCCAACATAACAACAGGCAAACATTCAATGCATATACAGACAAAAAACTAAAAATATAGCAAAACCAATAATCAACATTGTACAATAAGGTAAAATGACAGTGACATTAACTTTAAATAATTAGCATTAACACGTTTTAAAAGACTAGCTGAGGTAGAATAATATATCAGTTCCCTTACATTCCACTTAGTTTGTGCTGTAAACTTTATTTGTCTTTCTCAATGTATACTTGGGAGCATATGAGTGTTTTAAGTTGAGTCTTAAAGGAAAGAAACCCTCTCTATTTCTGTTGGTGAGATTTATTGATATATATTACATTCCTACAGTAATAATCTGTAAGTGAAAGGAAGAGTCATTGAGTTCAGTGGGGTTTACTTCCGAGCAGACAGGCCTAAGAGTGAATTGTTCTACATTTAGAATAACTAGGATAACAATAACTGAAAATGGAATTTTAATTTGCCTTGAAATAGCTTTTTATTATTGGTACCATTGTGGTTATTGTGCGCTTTCATGGTGACCCTATCATGAGTTATTCTGGCACTAAGGGTGTGTGACTTTCTCAAAGCCACTCAATGGGTTTCCATGACCAAGCAGGGAAGTGAAGCGTTATCTCTCTCCATGAAATGACTTGGCAAAACAATGGCCACCAGGCTGGCTTTTTATTGTATTTTTATTGTATTAATGTAATGTTTTAACTTTTATAATTTATTGTTACGATGTATTTTACTGTGTGAATTGTAGGCATCAACGTATGCCGGTTGGAAGCCGCCCTGAGTCCCCCTTCGGGGGTTGAGAAGGGCAGGGTAGAAATACTCGAAATAAATAAAATAAAAATAAAGGCTTGCATGGAAGACTTACAATTGCCACTTAATAAGCATCATCTTTAAAGGCATCTCCTCTTTTCTTACATGGTATAAGAGGGAATGCGTTTTCTTCAATGATGCTTGTTATGACATAACAGTGGCCATCATATGAAGACAATCTGTATAAATAAAAATGTAATATTCGTTAGTGTGATTAGCATAACTCAAAAACCACTGGACGAATTGACACCAAATTTGGACACAATACACCTATCAGGTCAAGTGACCATTACTCATAAAAACACAGAAGAGACTTTAAAAGCCAAAAACAAAAATTACATTACAACACATGCGCAAAACAACATATATATACACAAACACACATATACACAAATATATACACAAACACAAAACACATATACACAGACTGGACCAAAGCAGCGTGTGGCAGGGAATGGCAAGTTTCTACATAAAAGAAAAAATTCAGTAGATGTAGTTTGCTGAAATTACCCCTTCAGAACAACTAGAAAAGATACAGAAATCCCATCCTTTATTTTGTGTGCTCACTTTTCAGCTATAGAGTAATTTCCTTGACATTTCCTTCATGTCATTTTAAACTACAGTTCAAATTGTTATATTATAATTCTGCCTTAAACAGATTTACTTTATCCTTGGATATGTACAGTCAAGTGTAGGCATGGACAGGTGTGATAACATTATTGTTAACTGCTGCCAAGTCAATTTGGACTTAGGACAACTCTATAAATGAGGCTCCATCAACACTGCCATATAAGGCAGTTTCACAACATGGTTTTACTGCACTGAACTGCATTATATGGCAGTGTAGATCATATAATGCAGTTCAATGCAGTTAAACTGCATTATGAAACTGCACGATATAGCAGTGTAGATGGGGCCAGAGAGACCATCAAATCGCTCTATCGTATATGGCTCAGCTGAGGCCTTGCAGATTCAGGGCGGTGGCTTCCTTGACTGATACTACTTTTGCTTTTGCCTTGCATCTTGCAAAAAGACTTGCATGGCTGTACACTGTATTTTGCAGAAGTGAGCTAAATAGGGTAATTTGGAATATCTAGAATAGTATTTCCTTTTTGTGACTAGGCTTTGTCAGAGCCCTGATAAAGAACACATCCCTCCGCAGCCAACAACCCAATTGGGGGCATCAAATTGTGGGGTACCCTGCATGCTTCCACCTGAGACAGATAGAAGAGCCATGAGTGAGGTCAGCAAACCTACACTTATGCAGCCCAGCCAGGTGCTCTGTAGCACCGAACCAAAGGAAGATGTGCCACAGAGTCCCAGAGGCCTCACTGTCAAATGTCTCAACTCTTTTCGAGGCAAGATCATTTCAGACAACTGGAGGATTCAACAGGACACAGACTCTGAGTCCAGCATTGGTGATGGAAGCAGAAGAAAGCAGGTAACTGTCAGGGTATTATTGAGAAAGTTGACATAAAAAATACTTCCTACACTAAATATTTCAAACGGACAGCTTGGAAAAGTTACTCTTTTGAACATTAGTACTAAAATCCCAGGACAGCTTGAGGATTTTGAGAGTTATAGTCCAAAAAAGGAATACTTCTAAGCTGGGCTTAAACTGTACTTGGTGAACCTTTATGTTATGTGAACTCCATTCAGACTGGAACCACTGAAAATACCTGTTCTTGGTGCTGGTTGCTGTTTTTTTTTGGTTTTTTTTTTATAGTCCAAGGATGTCAAAGTGTTATTGATTAAGATCTGATTGTCAATTAGGCTAATAAAGTCTTAGAAAAAGATCTACAATTTTGATTGACAACACAGCATAAGTTTTGTTGGACACCTTACTTAAATATGAGTTATGAACATGCTTTGATTTATGGAAAAAAAGTGTTATTAAGTAATTCAACAATCAATTGGGGAATTGTGAAAACTGATCTATTATACAGTGGAGGATGCAGTCCTACTACCAATACAGAAGTGGTAAGAACTTGTATCACTGTTTTATATTAGATTGACTTATTCAGTCAGGTCATAACATTCTGGCTTCCTAACACATTGTCATTGCTGTCCCTTTAGGTATGAATATACAGATTTGTGCTTTACTCTGCAGTCTTATGCATCATCTATCTAGCTATCTACATCTATATGTGTATTTAATCTATTTATCCATGGGAAGCTGGTCTTATGTGTGTTTCAGAAGCTACAGCTAATGCAGAATAAAATTGAGGTGACATGTCTGTGACACCATAGGCAAAACAAATGCACTGGCTATCACTTTGGTACCTACCTGATCAGGTTTAATCTATTCATCTTTATATTAATATATAAGGCCATAAACAGCTGAAATCTGAGATTTTCCAGATGCAGTAGTCATAATCATTACAGTATCTTCTGGTTGTGCCATATGTTGATTGTAGATGTTCAGCTAGAATGATCTTTTATGTAGTGGCACCAACTCTCTCGAGTACTTTCTCACACAAAATAAAGAAATGCCAGTTCTGTTGTAATTTAGATTTACATTATATTTCAACCAACATGTAATGATTTATGATGACTGCCATTTTGATTTTTAGCTGATGGCCTATTGTTGATATATCATATTTTGGTTATGTTGTATGTTTTGCATTTATATACTTTAGAGTTACCCAGTAAATTATTAAATATATATATGAATCTTGTCCCTATTTCACTTCTCAGTTTTAGTGTACTTCTAATTGTGGTTAAATAGTTATACATTGCCTGGGTGTGCACAGGATGACAGGGTAAAATATTTTAAAAATCATTTAAAAAGAAAGGACATACACGTTACAGACCGAATGTACTAAATTAATTTTAATTACTAACACAGACCTGTTAATCTGAGATTCACCCATTGTATTTGAACTAAATCATACTTAGAGTAGACCCACTAAAGTCAATGAGATTTAAGGTGGTCACGACCATCTTAAGGTCATTGATTTCACCGGTTTGTTTTATGTACAACAGTCAGTTGGGTTCCTATCCACTGTCAATGCATTCACATGATGATCACCATTTCTATTAATGCAGAGAACAGAAGAACCAGAAGAGAAAAAAATTGCTTTGGAGCTTCTGGACACTGAGCGAGCGTATGTCAACCGCCTTCATCTTCTGGACCAGGTTGTTTGGCAGAATAACTTGCATTTTCTGGTTTTGGCCCTCCACATTTGATAGTTTAACTTTTGTGGATTTCATTATTTGTTGATCTGATTAATATGTTCTCTGTAGGTATCTCTAGGACCTCCAGTGTGACTCTATAGTCAACCTAAGAAGTTTTTCATAGAGTTGTGCTGGAGGACCTAAGATCACACTGGAGGATGCAGACATTCCTAGAGGAGCATTTTGTCAGCTTAAAACAGAGTGTTTCTATGTCTGTGGAGATCTTGTGTCCCTGACTACCATGGACAGTAAATGGTGATTATGATAATAATATTTGTGCCTTCGATTCCGAAAGTATTCTTTCTATGATAAACCTACAACTCTCACTCACCCTGGATCATCTCTTTGAAGTCTTCCTACCCTTTAAATACAGCCTGCTACTTTGGAACACATATGACCCAAGGAGCTATATAAAAAAAGACAGGGATAGTGGATAATTTCCACCCAAATTTGTAATTGAAACTTATTAGATTTGGGTAAGGGGGGGGGGGTTCAGTGTGAACTGTAGCCCTGTTTGCTTCCTCCTCTTCCTGAGCTGTTTAGCTGTTATAGGAATTTGTGTACTTCAAGCATTAAACTCTGAGATGTAGTTTTCCAATTCTCTCTCTGCTCCTTTTTTCCCTTTGGATGCATATCTGCATACAGGAACTATCTTGTTTTTAGCGATCTTATGTACTGTATATTCTGACGTATAAGACTACTTTTTAACCCAAGAAAATCTTCTCAAAAGTCAGGGGTCTTATACGCGGGAATCGTCTTATACGCGGGAGTAGTCTTATACACGGGAGTCGCCTTATATGCTGGAGTAGCCTTATGCATGAGAGTCGTCTTATATGCGGGAGTAGTCTTATATGCCAGGAGTCGTCTTATAGAGTGGGTGCTGAAACTTCCAATCCAGATTGGAGAATCTGTGGTTGCTGCATATTGTGGAGGGAGCTCAAAAATGGCAGTGGCCGCATCCCTGCCGTATGCAGTGACTGTATGAAAGCATTAAGGGTGATGCTGTACAAGTACGGAAGAAGAAAATCCATTCATCAGGATTCATGGACTTAATGCAGTCCCAATGGTAAGGTGAAGGGGTGCCTCACCTGGAAGGCTTAAGGGAAGGGTGGAGCAAGCTGCAGGCGCCTGCGGTATGGAAAAAAGAGATAGAGTGGCTCTGGGCCCAGAAAAACACACCTCTTTTACCTGTCTTGCCCACCCTTGTATCCTATTACTGTACCTCCTCCTCTGCCTCTCAGATCTCGCTCCTGAAGACTGCAGTGAAGCGGTGCAGGTGCGCATGTGTGAGATCTGAGAGGCAGAGAAGGAGGTACAGTAATAGGGAAATTACCATATTGAAATCAAATCTGATGCTTTTAAAAAATTTATTTGGTATGTGTTGGAAGAGGGGTAGTCTTATATGGTGAGTATATACCAAACTCTATATTTTAACTGGAAAAGTTGGGGGCCGTCTTATACGCCCAGTCATCTTATATGCTGGAATATACGGGTAAGTCTTTCTAGGAGTCTTTTTGGCTGGCAAATGAATCCCAAATACTTTGAATGATAAATAAATAAATAAATGAATACATTTACATTCCTTTACTGGCTGTAAATGTTCTCTTGCAGGTGTTTTTAGCAGAGCTGCTGAAGGAAGCCAGAAATACAAAAGCATTCCCAGAAGAGGTGGTAAAAATGATATTCTCTAATATCTCATCCATTTACAACTTCCACGCCAAGTTTTTCCTGCCAGAGCTACAGAAACGTATAGAGAATTGGTGAGTTATGGAAGCCAGGCTTTTTACCGCTCTGTTCACGGCATTTGTGGGCAGGGAAATGAGAGGTTTTGAAATAAAAGTCCATTGTAGGCATTGAAGTTTAAATCTGGGAACAAAATACAAAACAAGAGATCTCAACCTGAGTTTGTTTGTTATGTTTTAGTTTGCTACAAACTCTGATATAATGCAGAGAAGCAGATTAAAAAAAATAAACAAACTGGCTTGTTCTTAATTTTCCTGCCTAAGTCTTTTTGCTGTCTGAGGAAAAAAGAGCAGATGGTATTCCCCAGTATGTAATGCTATTTTCAGAAGTTAACTGAATTTATTTTAATACTGGTGATGATAGAGTTTTTCTTGAGGAAAACAAAGCAGGCGACACAAGTCAGGTAATTTGTCCCACAGAATCTTGTTCTCCAAATCTTTCCATCCATGGCTTGTAGTAGAACTGAAACCCAATTTAAGGACATTTCGCTAGTGTATAAGAAGGCTGAAAATGTCAAGAAGCCAACTGTGGAAATGTTTGCACTTACTATACTCTTCAAATATGAGCGATGGGTTACCAGAAGCTGAGCTGCATCCAAAAAAGATGCTTAAAGATGCCAAAAAACAATCCTAATGATGGTTGGTCATTGCTAAAGATAGTGAAAGAGACAGATTAGACAACTTCCCCAATTCTTTACCCACTCTAGTTCAGCAGTCCTCATCAGAGGTGCCAGTGGCATACCTGTTATTTGGCATTATGATTACAGGGATACAAATCCCAGGATTGGGGACATCATCCTGAAAGTTGCTCCTTTTCTGAAGATGTATAGTGAATATGTGAAGAACTTTGACAAGGCAGTGGAGCTGATCACCACATGGTCTGAAAAGTCCTTGCCGTTCCAGGAACTCATCTCACACATTCAGGTAACATGACCAGGAACCTTTTTACTAAGCTTGGCCTCCTTCAGGGATCCCATCCAGGACCCTGAGTCTATGTGTATATATGCAACACAGGGATTTTGGTGACATAGGCAAAAAAAGGGCACCCTATTCCTTATTGTGCTTTCTACTTTCTTCACCAGTTTTGTTTGGTCTTAGGGTTGATGTCCTCTATTTCTGTCTTAAACCAATTGTTTTTGCTATCTGATCCTACTGTTCTTTATATGCCTCTTGGTGGGTTCTTACCACCTGGTCTTGCGAGATTGCTTCTGCCTACCTTGCATGCCTCACCAACCGACGCTGATTCTTCTTTCCTGCTCCAGAATCTGATGCTGAAAGCCATCTTTGGAATAACTTGTATATCTCTATTTGTTATATCACCAATATTTGGTTTAGAATCATGTTGGGTTGCTAAGTGCTGAAACTAGCCACAATATTGTAGGAGCATAATTTAAAGATATAAATTATTGAATAGTTATCCTTGTATACAAGAATGTACAATTCAGTAATTTTACAACAAATGTTTATTTACAGCATTGATATATACAAATGCCCTGAAGTTTTGTGGAGAAAAACATGTCTTTTGCACAAAACCCCATTTTCTAAGCAGACAACCCATCTCCTTTGTAGGAAGGAGTCTGCAGAAAATCCATTTCTTAGAAGAATTTTAACACTTCAAGACATTCAAATACTAGGAGAAAACTACAAAAAAAAAACCCATCATCTTGCTTGTCTGATATTCTTCCTGATAGGACTTTCTAATTATAGGGATATCTGTTTTTAAAGTCAGGAAGAAATAATTGCCCATATTCTTCCCTTCTGTAGTGTAGTTGTAGGTCTCTGCTTACATACATAAAGTGTTCATTGCCATGGTTTTTTTGTTTTATTTCTGATTTGCATGGCCCTAACCAGAAAGAGGAGATCTGTGCGAACTTAACCTTACAGCACCACATGCTGGAACCTATACAGAGAATCCCCAGATACGAACTCCTTCTGAAGGATTATATTCGAAAGCTGCCTCTGGAATCACTGGACCAAGAGGATGCACAGAGTAAGAAGCTTAAATGTTTTGGGATGGGCATAAAAAAGGATAAATTCTCAAGCTAAAGGAGCCCACACAGGGCTGACTGAAGTGCTTTAAGGCTAGCTAAAAGTGCATTTCAATGCTGTTGGACTAAAATTCTCCTTCCATGCTTGGACATTCAACCTCCTTTTTGATTTGTTTAATTGCTATAGTCTCCCTGCAAAATGTTGGCAGTAGAGTGACAAGTCTCTGTTGTAGGGTTTAGAGATCTGACAGCTTGTGCGGAAGATAAAACAGGAAGAAATAGGAACTTTTTCCAGTAGAAAAATTGAAAATTAGGAGACAAACCTATAATTAAATATTTTATTTTGAAATGAATGAAATAATTTCAATGTAATGTTTTACCAAAAGTTCATGAATTGCACAGTATGAAGATCTGTTTTTAAGACAGTTTACACAGAATAATAACACCTATATACCAGATGTATGAAAGACTCTAAGAGCAGTCATGGTGTGGTAGTTTGGACTAGGATACTGAGAGGCCAGAGTTTGACTCTTGCTCAGCCATGGAAACCCACTGGGTGACTTGGATAAATGACATTCTCTCAGCCTCAGAGGCTCTGAACTAATCTTATCTAGAAAAATTCACAAGGGTCACCATAATTCGGAAATAATCTGAAGCGTATAGCGAATGCACTCCAAGATGCATTTTTGCTCCTATTCCACTGGAGAGGAGTATACTGGGGAGTTCTTCAATGCTGATGATAATGCATTTTGAAGAGTTCTGTTTTTTTCAATGTTCAGTTAAACAGAGCTTTATTGCATGGGATAAATAAATTGCAAATAGAGCAGGATACTAGCACCCTTGTCTCTATTCTATTGTTCTTCCTTGGGAGACTGTTTGGAAATGTGTTTGTTTAATTAACACAACAAATCAATTAATGACCTCCTTCCTTGCTACTGTTTTGCTAGGATTTCCAGTGGAAAAGTTCAGTTCTGCTTTAATGCCAATTTTGGGTGGTTGGTAGGGATACTATAGTGCAGCTTAGGCATCCGTTGCATAAGGCCCTTAACATTGTACAAGACTTTTCCTTTACAAACCAGATGTTTTATTGGAATTGTAACACAATTTGTGGCTACTGGCTGTGTTAAAGAGCATTCTCTGGGTTTTTTTTAGAAGCTCTGGAGTTGATTTTCACAGCAGCCAAACACTCTAATGCTGCCATTGCAGAAATGGTGAGTGCATCTTATCCCTTCTAAGTGCCTGATCCTTTTCATTCAATTTCAGTGAGAGAGTTTTGTAGCTGAGCTGTTATTTTCCTCCTTGTATACCTTTATTTTGGTGCTTCTGCAGGAACGACTTCAGAACCTTTGGGAGGTGTATCACAGGCTGGGGCTGGAAGATGACATCGTTGACCCTTCAAATGAGCTGATTAAAGAGGGACCCATTCAGAAAATCTCTTTCCGGCACAACACCACAACAGAGAAATACCTGTTCTTGGTGAGAGTTTTTTGGGTTAGTCTACAGTCTGTGAATTGTAGGAGTGGCTGATTTCTATAGCAGTGAGAATCGGGAAGGTTTTGGCTTTTAGCCTGAGTAGTTTAAATAAGTCGAGTTGATTTATTTACATTAATAGTTAGTGTATGAGAAAAAGGGTGAGAGAAACCCAGTGAAAGAATAAGCTTGTAACTGAAGTAATCTATTAAGGAAAAAAAAAACACAGTTTAAAGAGAAATAAGTTTGAAACCTGTTTAGCGGAAGGAAGAGTCCTTTCCAGAGTTGTTTAAGAAACGTTATAAATGTAACCTATGAAAATATGTGCCTCTAAAAGTAAGAAACATTGAAACCATCACACTCCTTCTACATTTCAATAAACTTGTTACTGTTTTTCCTAAAACCCTGTCTCTGTTACAATTCCTTTCCAGGTTAAGTCACGCTACACATTAAAGAAAGACCAAGTCAATACCACTAGCTATTAGCTACACTATCAAATTAAAAGACCCTTACAAAGTGGTGGCCCCTTTGCAAACTCCTCACAAATTGGTGGCCATCATCACACCTTGCTATTATGGCCATCTAGCAGAGCCAATGAAGCCGGATTGGCCGAAAGAAAATGGCTAAAACGGATCTGTGAACAAGCCTAGTACTCTCCTTTTTAAAAACCAGGAAAATTTTTAGATGGGTTTCTTGCTTCCAAACCATGTGCCTCACAACTCTTTGTCACCCTCAACTGAAAACAATGCAAAAGAGTTATTCTAACATGCCGTGGGAAGGGTTGCAGACATTTGGGAAAAATTGGCCCTTAAGCCTGTACAACTGTCTACTCCTGCTCTACCTATGTTCTTAATGTTGCAATACAGAGAGATGTACTGGATGGGTTGAACTGTTGATGGTAACACTATGTTCTTTCTAGGGATATGGAGATCGAAGGTAATCTGTATATCAGATTGTCAAGCTTACTTGTCCACTTTGCCATCTCCAAGATGCTCTTTCTGGAGCTTATTTTTCATGCTAGCAGACTAGTGAGAGAAAATTATAGACAAAACAATGCACATTTTTCCCCCTACAAAGTGTGTTAGGAAAAAAAATTAAACATCTTTGTTTATCCCAAAATGTTCCTCTTGTCTTTTATTTGCATCTATTTCCTCATCATCCACTGCTTTTAAAAAGTTTCCCATATATGTATATAAATGTTGAGGACAGCGATTCCCTTTCTCCCAGCCACAGATTTTGTTGATAAAACAAAGTCTGGCGTGATGAGGATGTTGCCCCTTGAGAATTGGGAATGTCTGGGACCAGCAGATTTTGCACCATCTCTATTTCTTTTCTGTTCTTGCTTCAGAGTGGTTCAGATATTTATGTCTCAAGAGGAAGATGTTCACTAGAGCAGGCAGCTATATTATGGGCTGGTTAGTTTTGATGTTGCTGCTTTCTTTTCCCCCTCCAACTATGTTGATGATATGTTGTTTTTGTTGTTTTGCTTCCTTCAAGTTTAATAACCTGCTGCTTTATTGTGTGCCCAAAGTCATTCAAGTGGGTGCGGAGTTTCAGGTGCGAAGCCGGATTGATGTGGAGGGAATGAAGGTCAGAACATTTTATTGTTATCTTCACTGGCAGTTCAGTTCTGTATATCTAATCAGAAGTAAGACTCTGCATTTAGTGCAGATTCCTCCTCGTGCCAAAGTGCATAGGATTGCAATTGGAAAGAACTATCCCAAGAAGACATCTATAATAGAGAGGCACCTAAACTCCTCTGGCTCATATCGGAAAGGCAGAAGGCAGGAAGGTAGTGGTTGTAGAGAAAATATATACAGGCATCTTTGCTTATCCATGGCCTTTTTCAGTGTTTTTGCTGTTTTGATAGATAAAAATTATATCTACATCCTGCTCTTTCTACCCTAGTGGATCCCAACCCGTAGGCTGTGGTGGGCCGTGAGACCCAAAATAAGATCGTTGGCTCTAGATTATTAAATATGCTGATGTGGGCTATCCAATGCCATTTTCTCAATCAGGACCCCAAATAGCCAAACCGAATCTAAAGTTGACCAAAAATTGATTTAGAAAGTTTTAAGAAAAATCTCAAAACCTGGCTCTTCCATTGCGCTTTTGGTGATTAACCATACAATCTGATATTGCTGCTACCCCTCAACGTTTGCCCTTTGAGTATACCTCCTCCTCCCCTGTACGAAGACCCTTTTTGACCTCACTTCCAAAGAGTTTCTCCTTCACTAATAATGTGCTCCATCCCTATCTCACTCCGTGTTTTTAGTTTTTAGCTTTAGTATTTTATCCTGTACATGTGGCCCGCTCACTGTCACTGTCACATTTACTGTGTTATGATTGTTTTTAATTTTATATTGTCTGCTGTAATTTTTTATGTTTCATGTAATTTATCATGTTATTGTGTGTGTTTTGATTTCATTTATTGTATTGTGTTGTTGGGCTTGGACTCATGTAAGCCGCCCTGAGTCCCATCGGGGAGATTAATAATAATAATAATAATAATAATAATAATAATAATAATAATAATTTGTAACCCTTTTTGTACTAATGTTGGAGAGTGGTCCCTGGTCATAGTGGTCCCTGGACAAAAAAAGGTTGGGAACCACTGTTCTACCCTGTCTGCTCATTTGACCCCTGCTTCTTTTTCTTTCTCTCTCAAAACACAGCTCTCTCAGTGTGTGTGTCTGTATATTTTGCATTTGCAAGCTAAAAAATACTGGGTTCTGCTTTTTGGCCATTTTCACAGTTAGTGGCCTGGTCTTTAACTCCTTGAATATGTAGGAAATGCCTGTACACTTCCTCCATGAATAACATATTCTGTCCACGAACATATTCTGGGGATCTGTTTAAAGAAACAGTAGGTTCTGTCCTCATGTTGGCAAGAACTCTGAAGGTTTCTGTACCTATAAGGAAAAGGCTTAGAGAAGGGGAGATCCATGTCATTCTATGGTGAAATCTTTTTTAAAAACCCAAAATTCTTCATGTATATCTGCTCAAATGTTTTCTGCATCCTTTCTTCCAGTGTTCATTTGTTTGTTCATTCTTATTTTTACTCAGTGATAGCACATTTACTCCCCTTTTAACAGCATAACCAAATACAAATAAAACATTACTTCAAATAAATAAAATTACAATACAAGAGTGGCAGAAGAAACAAGAATAGTAACCTTTCTCCAGCAGCATTAAAATATAAAACTAGAGTATCAAAACCAGAAGAAATATCATTTCCAAAATGTTCTCAATGTTTTTGTTATCGTTTAAACTTTAAAAACTGTCCCAGAGAAGAAGGCAGGCTAGCAGTGATGGTGAAGGTTATGAGCTTCTTGACTGTCTGAAAGACCAGTTCATCTTTGCACTGTACAGTCTTTGAGGCTCCTAATAGGAAGAAAATATTTCAGTTAAGTTCACTCCTAGGGAGATGACTGCATCTCAGTCCAAAGCACAATGACTTGCATTTCTGCAATGAGCTCACAAAGTCAAATGACATCTTTCGAATATGATATCTGTGGGGTATCTAAGATTTGTTCTCTACCATGAATGCTAATGCTTTTCCTTCTGTGAACTTTTAGGTTCGAGAACTAAATGACGTGGAGTTTCCTCATGCTTTCCTTGTGTCTGGAAAACAGCGAACTCTAGAATTACAAGCCAGGTAACTGAACAGTATTTTTTTTAAATTCTAGCCAAGAAACATAGAAGTAACATTCTCCAACAGGTGGTTTTACTTCTGTTGCAGATCCCAGGATGAGATGGATGCCTGGATAAAGGTAACTTTTGCTATAATCTTTTGAAGACTGGATGGAGCTCTGCTGAACAAAAGCATCCTCAATGGTTCCGTTAGTTCTCTTTCAAAATATTCTGTAGACCACATAGGTATCTGCATTAGTCTAAACCTTGCATCTTGTTAAAAGCAACAAGAAAATGTCTAGACATAACTTAAAGCAGAATTCCTCATTCTTTGGTGCTCCAGATATTCCAGGCTTCAGCTACCAAGCTCCCTGGTCTTTGGCCAAACAAGCTGTGGTTCCTGGGAGGTGAAGTCTAAAACTTCTTGAAGACCAATGGCTGTGAACTGCTCACTTAAAGATTATTTGGCACAAACTTCAGTGGAGCTGCAAAACATTTCATCAGATGCTTCTGGAATAACTTCCTGGTGGACTACTCCTTTTACACTTAAAATCCTTTCTTGCCTTATAGGCTTTGTATGTGATTGAGGACGATGTGGCTTTCACTCATAACTTGAATCTAAGCTTCTTTTCCATTTCACCCCTCCCCTCCATTTCTAGGCATTTCAGTCTGCCATTGACAAGAAGGAGAAAAGGAATGAGTCCTTCAAGGCAGCCATCCAAAGGCCAGAAGCAGAGACTCAAGACTTGAAAGTAATCCTCCTGACACCCTGCAGCAGTTCTCTTACCTGTGCCTAACTTCACCCTTGAAGCTCTTTTTATTTGTTTTCTAATTGAATGCCGTGTATAGTTCTTTCAGAACTCATAACTTAACAGATTGACAGATCATGCTGAGAACTAAAAATACTGTGATGACATGATGTTAAAGAAATGGGGGTGGGATCTGCAGAAAAATAAGGGCTTCTAGGTTGGTGCCAAGAGGCTGGACAGTACAGGTCAGAAGCTGGAGAGAGGCTTCAAAATTACATTTGTTATGAAATATTCAATGTTTAACCCCAGGAATTGCCAGAGAGTCCACAACAAAGTTAGTTTGATTCGAGTTCTCTTCTCTCCCAGAAATACCAGCCTGAGGAACTGGGCAATAGGGCTCCTCAGTGGGTAAGAGACAAGCTGGTAACCATGTGCATGCGTTGCAAGGACCCGTTCAATGCTATCACACGCAGAAGGCATCACTGCCGGGCCTGTGGCTATGTGAGTAATTCTTTTGGATAAGATGGTAATGGAAGTTGCATAGAGAGCTACAGTGATCTGAAAAGTTACTTTTGAGAACTGGTCACAATGATGATCCATATATACTTGGGCAGTGGAGATATTGGCCCAACTCTTCCAGCTTTGCTAAAGGCGATATATGGCTTCCATAGCCTCTTGAGCTCTCCTAAGTGCAGAGCTCCAAACACCTAATCTTTGCCAGTAATGACCTATGGTCTTATTAACAGCATATGGGAGCAGGGGATGTGTTTTTATCTTCTCTTGGAGCTATCCTTTGGTTCCCTACTTGGAGGCAGGTGGTGTGTGGCCGCTGTTCCAATTACAAGATTGAGTTGCAGTATGACAAGAATGGACCCAAACGTGTCTGTGTGGAATGCTACACCTTTCTGACGGGACATTTGCTGCATGATAAGCCATGTGGGAAGCACAAAGGGATTTTGGAGGTGAGAGAAAAAGCCAAGCCATAATGTTTTTTCCTTCTTCTCAGTCAGGAAATTGCCCTAGTCTTCCCCCTGACCCCCCCCCCCCCCCCCCAATGTTTATGCTTTAGTCATAACATGACCCTTGTGGGTCTGCTCTGGGATTTCCTTATTGCTGCTTCTTTACTCTAATACTCTAATCTGGCAGTCAAGTTCAACAGACAACAAATGTTATTCTGTGAATAGCAAAATATGATGGAGATATATAAAAAGTATGAAATACATTAGAGAATCATAAGAAACAATGGAACTCTGGCACGTACCTGGTGTTTTTTTTTTAATAAGCACCTACAATTTGAATGTGCAATTTAAATGTGCACCTACAATTTGAATGTTCTTGCAAGAAATGTTTATGGAGCATGGTTGGTGGATGATTGCTGGACTTGAGCTCTGGAAAGGAGAAAGGGCTCTGTTCATGGTACTGAAGATTAAGGCCGGCAGCCCATATGTAGTCTCAACTAGAATATTGTAAATCTGTTAAATCAATGGAAATTGGGTGTACTTATTTACATTTGACTGAGTCAGAAGGCCTACCTCGATTGGAACTAACAATCATCATACCACTCTGACCTCACTTGATTTCCTTGAATCTCTAAAGCTAAGTAAGGTCAGAGCTCGATAGGAGATAGACTCAGAATTGTAGAGTTGGAAGAGACCTTGTGAGCCATCCAGTCCAACCCCCTGCCAAGAAGCAGGAAAATCACATTCAAAGCACCCCCAACAGATGGCTATCCAGCTTCTGTTCAAAAGCCTCCAAAGAAGGAGCCTCCATCACACTCCGGGGCAGAGAGTTCCACTGCTCTTACAGTCAGGAAGTTCTTCCTAATGTTCAGGTGGAATCTCCTTTCTTATAGTTTGAAACCATTGCTCCATGTCCTAGTCTCCAGGGCAGCAGAAAACAAGTTTTCTTCCTCCTCCTTATGACGTCATCTCATGTATTTACACATGACCATCATGTCTCATCTTAGTCTTCTCTTCTGCAGGCTAAACATGCCCAGCTCTTTAAGCTGCTTCTCATAGGGCTTGTTCTCCAGACCCTTGATCATTTTAGTCACCCTCCTCTGGACATATTCCAGCTTGTCAATATCTCTCTTCAGTTGTGGTGCCCAGAATTGGACACAGTATTCCAGATGTGGTCTAATGAAGGCAGAATAGAGGGGTAGCCAGGCAAGGCTAGGAAAGAATTCTGTCTGAAGCCCTGGACAGCCACTGCCAGTTATGGTTGGATGAATAATTTTACTTAGCAAAGGGCAGGTTCTTGTGTAACAATTAGATCTAATCATAGGAGAACAATAATCAACCTATCTTAAACCTCATGGAATTACAAGGTCACTCTACAGTTGCATCACAGAAAAACCTCCTCAAGCTAGAGAGGGACTATGACTTTTATGCTGCTCCTGTCTGTTTGGCTGGATGCTATAGGACTGGATACAGATTTATATGATCTGTAAGTCATATTGAGGAAGTTGCTAAGCTAAGGAGCATTAACAGAACAATTTGGTTGTTTTGTTTCATTGGCAGAAAGGATCTGCAGAAATATCAGGACAGAGTCTGATGTGCAGTTTCCTTCAGCTTCTGGACAAGAATGGAAAAGGGAGCAAGAAGGGCTGGTTTGTGATCGCACGAGATGACCCTCTTGTGTTGTATATTTATGCTGCACCTCAGGTATGTTTTAGCTTAATTTGATTTTAAAACTTTTTAGAATGGATTCTCAAAATACTTAGATCAGGAAAGAAGAAGGTCCAGGGATTCTGGGATCAAATGCCATAATAAATCTGACATGGCCAAACAGTTGACACTAGTTCCTAAAAACCCTTTTTGTGATGGAAGGAGTCTTTGGGGAAAACAAGGTGCAGCAGGGATCTGCTCCTTGCTTTGAAGGAGAATAATAATTCTTGCATTAAAATTCTATATACACACCAAAATCCCACTCACTCATCCCTAAAATCCACTCTGTCATTACAGGGAGTCTGGGAGGAGCCACTGAATTATGGCATTTTATTCAATTTTAATGGTTATGGAAACATTCCTTCTTACTCTTGGGATCTGATGTTCTGTGAGGGGCCTTCAGAATTCTCAGAGAATTCTTTTGGGCCTCACAAACCTACAAACCCTAGTATCCACTGGATGCAGTCATGGCAATTAAATCGAAACATACTGTTATAACTGTAAAAATAACTAAAAATGTGAAAAGAGAAAGTTAGACTTGGTTGGCAACACTATTTCTAAAAATGGGTTTGAGTTTTACGAAGCCAGTTGTGAGGCACCAATGGAGAGGAATCCTGTGTCTGAATCTCTTATACTCCTTCCCTCCAACCTTTCAGGATGTCAAAGCGCACACCTCCATCCCCCTTCTGGGCTACCAAGTCAAAGAGTTGCCTCCAAGTGATGCCCGTCACATGTTCCAGTTGGTGCAGTCCAAACAGGTGTATACATTGGCTGCAGAGACAGAGGACTTGAAACAGCGGTGGATGAAAGCCATAGCGCACTCTGCCTGCGGCGAAGAAGAGGAAGACTCATTTGATGAAATGGAATAATCAGAGCCTTGTTGTGAAATAAATGCCTACTGTGAATCACTGAAGCACATGTGTACAAGTAAAACATTGTTGGATTTTTTCCTGTAATAATATTTTCCAGTTACAGGTTGAGCATTCCTTATGTAGAATTCTAAAACCCAAAATATTCCAAAATCCGAAATTGTCCATATGAATGACTGAGATAATGAAACCTTGGCTATCTTTGTTTCATGCACAAAAATTATTTTACATAATGGCATACAATTAACTTCAGTCTATGTGTAGAAGATATATATGAAACAAAAATGAATCCTGCATTTAGACTTGAGTCCCATCTCCAGGATATCACATTATGTATGTATCGTATATGCAAATACAAGTATTCCAAAGTATTTCTGGTCTCAAGCATTTTGGAAAAAGGATACTCAATCTGTATAACTCTTCAGTCATTTTTGCATGTCATAGTGTATTTGCCCTAGTACCGAGTTCTCTAGTTTGCTTTTGAGCTTATCATGTGGAAGTTGGATCAAATGCATTAATCAAATCATGGTGTTTTGTTGTTGAGACCTATATTTGCTGATATACTTGTTTACCCATTCACATATACACTCAAACATATCCTGTATAATAATACCAACAGCACTTCCTGTATGTACAAAGATTCCCACTGTTTTGATTAGTAAAATCAACCTCTTGTGCTGCAGAATCCAGATGCTCTTTTCATGAAAGGAGTAAGTGGTACCTACAATGATGCTGGGAAAATTCCCATTACTTTGTGGGTTTGCTAGTGGAATTCAGTGAGGAAAAGTTATGGCAATTGGCAAGCATATGCCCAACATTATTATAATGTTGGTGAGGGATTTATTTGCTCATCCAACATAGGGCCAAGCTATCTGATGTGCCAAGAGAGATATCGGTGTATACCAGTTCCTGTGATGGCCACCAGTTTAGATGGCTTTTTAAAAGGTTCCAACACATTCATGGAAGTTAGATTTACCATATGCTATGAGAACTATATGGAGCCAAAACAGAAAAGCAGCAGAAGAGGGCTATCAGTGTCAAGCGCTCAACAACAAAACCCACAAAAGAGTGATAACTTTGTGGGCCAACCAAATGCACAAAATATATCCAGCAAGCTTTTGAAGCTCCACTGACTTCTTTGTTAAACAAAATATATTTTTTAAAAAATACAAAAGAAGAAAAGAGCCAATATCAGAGCCATAGAGCTACATTGTCAGATGTTGTTTCTATTGTTGCCTTGGCACTGAGATAAAGGACAGTAAAATTTAAACTTCTTTCACAGCAATAAAATAACTTTGCTTGGGATCCATGTTATCTTTGTCTTTTGTGAAGCCATAGTTCTCTTTCTTAGGCCGAATTTTCACTGCCATAAAATATTCAGATTATCTGCTTTGAACAGGAATATATGGCAGTGCAGACTAATATAATCTAGTTCAAAGCAGATAGTATGGATTTTGTATGGCACTGTAGATAGCGCTTTAGATATCTGTGAATTTCTCTAGAAACCCAATCCTGTTTGTGAGTTTTCAACTGATGTAGTCACTACTGGAGGTAGAATGCTTGCTCAGAGAATTGCCTGAAGGCATAACATCACCCTTCTGTGACCGACTTATGAATGTATATGTTATTTGCTGAAGTCTGGAAATCATATCTGTACATCCAATGGGAAATTTAAAAAGCAAGCTGTATGTATAATAGAACCACAGATTCCTACATTCTTACAATGATTTTCTCCCACCAGGACTTTACCTAACTATCATTACTATAAGGAAATATATGCTGAGAATATAGCTTGTTTTGCTTCTGAGGACCCATCTACACTGCCATATAAAATCCAGATTATCTGCTTTGAACTACACTGTTATGTATTCCAGTTTAAAGCAGATAATCTGGATTTAATATGGCTGGCCCTTCCAGCCCCCTTCTACAATGCCATATAGTACAGATATCAAATCAGATTATCCACATGATCTGCTTTGAACTGGATTTTATATAGCAGCGTAGAAGGGGTCACAGACATAGCTACATCTTGAAGGAACTGGGATAGTAAATCACAGTTACTCCCAGAATTTAACCTCCACCCCCAACCCAAGCTTTGGGCATTCCCTCAGGGGGTGGGGGTATCTATATGCCCTCCCAGGTCAACCTCTGGTTGACTAGGGAGGACATCCAACCACCTCCACCCCCCCCCCCATCCTCCCCCCCGCCATTTACCTAAGGGCCTGCCAGTAGCGCAGGCTTCTTCGGAGAACTCTCCTGATGCGCCAAAATGATGCCTGAAGAACCTGGATGGCTGTGGTGATTGACCCCCGGGCTTGCAGAAGTAGTCTTGGGAGATAGTAATAATTAATAGTAATACTAATAATACTAATAATAATAATAATAATAATAATAATAATAATAATAATATTTTCCCCTCATGTCTCAATGCAGGTTACAGAATAATTAAAACATACACACATTGTAAAATAACACAAATACACATATTTAATGTACTTTATAAAAGATACATATCAAAACACATTTCTATAAAATACATATTAAAATCCACAAAACAGAGATTAAACAAAGGACAGGTTTAAAATTCATGCTTAAAAATTGGCTGGGTAGGCCTGTCGGAAGAGATAGGTCTTTATAAAGTATTTAAATTCCAACAGCTCATTTAGCTGTTGAAGTTCTTCTGGCAGGCCATTCCACACTCTAGGGGTGTCCGTTCGGTTCTGGAAGGCTGGAGCAGATACCCCCCCCCCCAGCATACCTAAGTGTGCAGGGTGGATTGTATGAGAGAAGGTGATCTCCACAGGACTCTCACCTGAAAAGATCTGGACCTTAGCTTAAGGTCAGGATCTTTCCAGATTTTGAATTAACCCAGATAAAACTGGGATATCCCAGTTTTCTCTGGATTAATTCAGTTTTATCTGAGGTGTCATTTGGAAGGGTCCTAGGTGAGACCTGAGAGAAGTACATGAGGGTATTTTGGGAAAGCATATGGTTTATTCTTTTTTCAACTTCATTTGTGAGTCTTTCCCCCCTTTCATTAATCTTTTCTCTCTCTTATTGTGTTGAAAACATGATGTAGATAGAAATATCATGTAGATCTTAAAACTCTTCATAAATTTAGCTTTCATTATTACCAGGAGTTAACAGATGACAGTGTTGAGTAACTAGTACCTATGGAAAGAAATAAAACAATGTCTGCAGTAGATGTAGTTAGAAGCAGCCACCTTCCAAACCCATTTGCATGCAACTCATTCTCTCAATCCTTTCCTTTATAAACTAGCAATAGAAAAAATTCCTTCCACATTCTCAGGCCTCATTTACACTGCCATATAATCTAGTTTTTTAATTCAGGTTGCCTGCTTTAAACTGTATTATATGGCAGAGTAGACTCATACAATCCAGATTTTGATTCAGAAGCTAGATTAAATGGCAATGTAGATCCAGCTTCATCTTTCTGGGTTCCATGGGTCCAAATATGTATGATTATTCAAATATACTCACAATAAAAGTTCCAATACAATTTTTAACTGAAAAAAATAGATTTATATATTAAATTTAACACATATCCACTATCCCCAAATTTCCAAGCATCCAATGAAATGTTGGTGCCAGTTTGATCACAGAACACTTCTGTCTGTTGCTCAATAGTATTATAACTAATACAGTTCTCTAAATGCAGATGTGATTAATGCTTTTTACAGCAGAAAGGATCAAGCACCGAAAAATCGGTGCTTGCCCCAAACTGAACTAAGAAATGGAGAGTCAACCGATGCAGTGGCTGGGCTGCTATAAGTCAGTCATGGGCTTCAGCTACAATGTCACCATTGTATGGTAAGTGTAGACTCATACAGATTAACCACACTGAACTGCAGTATGTGAACCTAGACTAACCATATAACTGCATTCAGTGGCAGTGTCAATGGGGCCATAGTCTCTCAGCCTGACCTGCGTCACAGATTTGCTATGAAGATAATATGGGGAGGAAGAGAGCCAAATTCAATGGAGGAAAGGCAAAATATAAGTGTTGATTCTGGAATTTCAGATTTAGGATACTCAACTTGTAACAGCAATAATAATGAGAACCAGGCATATCGGAGTCCTTTCACAAGAACTGTTTGAATTGCTTTGTGATTTTTGTGTGTGATGACAACATATCAGCCTATGTGATGCATTGCACATAGCTGTATTGACTGTGAAATTGGTATGTGTCATCCACACATTTACTGCAGTGTATTTACACAATGGCACTATCAATTTGAATTTTAATGTTTCCCTTCTGTTTTTAATTTCTTGGGTAACTGCAGAAAATCCAGGGTTTTTTAAAAAAACATGAGTCTTTCATCTTTTGAGACATGCAGTGATGCATCATCATCATCATAGGCTATCACTCATGGCTGAATATTATTGCCTTCCAAGTGTAAAGATTTGGTGGTGGGTCTGTAGGTGACTATAGAGACCTATTCCCAATGAAGACATCAGTTTCCAGGTGGAAGGTGGTCCCAACAAGGGTTGGTTTGATGCGCCTTCCTCCTGACACATTTCTCCCTTTCACCCTCCATTCATGCCTCTTTGAATTCCACAGCACCATTGGTAACAGCTGACCTCCAGTTAAAACGTTTGATGGCCAGGTTTCCCAGTTCTTGGTGTCTAAGCCACAGTTTTTAAAGTTAGCTTTAAGCTCATCTTTAAATCTCTTTTCCTGTCCACCAACATTCCGTTTTCTATTCTTGAATTGAGAGTAGAAAAATCTGCTTTGGGAGATGGTGATTGGGCATTTGGATAATGTGTCCAGTTCAGCGAAGTTGATGGTGGAGGATTATAGCTTCAGTGCTGGTGGTCTTTGCTTCTTCCAGAACTCTGACATTTGCCTGCCTGTCTTCCCAAGAGATTTGCAGGATTTCTCAAAAGCAACACTGATGGAATCAATCCAGAAGTTGAGAATGACATTTGTAGATGATCCACATGCAAGCATATAACAGAGTTGGGAGGATAATAACTTTATAAACAAGAATCTTGATATTCCTATGAATGTCCCGGTCCTCAAACACTCTCTGCTTCATTCGGAAAAAAGCTGCACTCTCAGCGCTCAGACGCTGTTGTATTTCAGTGTCGATGTTGACTTTCGTAGAGAGGTGGCTGCCAAGGTAGTGGAAACGGTCATTTTCAAACATTACACCATTAAGCTGTATTTCTGGCATTACAGTGATGCAGTGATTGCACAATCCTATAACTATTTGGCACACCTTTTTTTTATTACTGTCATTGTTTTAATTTTTCACCACTATTTCAAACGGCACATTGGCAGCATTAAAATACAACAATATTTTTAAAAGAAAACATGCAGTACCACACATAGTGCTAGTTACCATTAGGTTTTACTCCTTTTCCAGTTCCCATTCTAGTGATGTTGTTGTTCATTCGTTCAGTCGTCTCCGACTCTTCGTGACCTCATGGACCAGCCCACGCCAGAGCTCCCTGTCGGCCGTTACCACCCCCAGCTCCCTCAAGGTCAGTCCAGTCACTTCAAGGATGCCATCCATCCATCTTGCCCTTGGTCGGCCCCTCTTCCTTTTGCCTTCCACTTTCCCCAGCATAATATAATATCATAATTCTAGTGATATAGTTCTGTAATTCAAAACTTGCACACCAGAGAGCAGTATAAGACCCAAAATAAAGAGAACCTAGCAAAGGAGGCTTATGTTTTCTCCTGTTTCCCTTTTTTTGACCTCTTCCTCAAATTCTTGGGCCAATGTTTACAGTCTCATAGCCTTGAGCCATGGCAGTTAAAGTGGTGCCAAGCTGTATTAATTCTGCAGTGTAAATGCACCCTGTGGCTGCCGACATTGCACCAAGGATTTGAGAAAGATACCCAAGTAATCCAGTAGAGAGGGTAAAAGTTCAGCATGACAGGGCTGGTGGGAATTGCTGCCTAATCATGTTTAGAAGAACACCAGTTGCCCACCTCTGATTTTGCCCAGTAATGTTCGTCTTCTGGTTTTTCTCATTCATGTGCTCTGAAATGAATTAATTCTCAGATATAGTCAAAGGATGTATGTATATGTGTGTGTGTGTGTGTGTGTGCGCGCCTTCAAGTTGTCTTTCAACATGGTGACCACATGAAGTTCACAGTTTTTTAAGGTAAGGAATACTTAGAGGTGGTTTTCTAGTTCCTTTACCTTAAATATAGACAATCAGAAAATTGTTAGTGGGGTCTGAAATCCATCTTAAGCATGGCTTCTCTTTCTCTGTTTCATTGTTTTATCACTGCTAGATCTGCTTGCATGTTGAGGCATTGGGAGATAATC